ACCATTAAAGTAGTGCAAAAGCATTTAGCCCGCTTTAAAGTGTCATGCACACGTGCCCCTCGTTTCGTCTACACACGGCCTTATACCTTAACTAAACACTTGTAACCTGCTGTTGTGGTTCAGTGGTAGAATCCTTGTCTGCCCTGTGGGAGACCTAGGTTCAATTCCTGAACTACAGCTGTCAAGGGACTGAATGTCTGGACTCAGTCTGACCTTTGCATACTGTCTCAATGGCTTAAAGTGGGAATGGAAGATCTGGGCAGCCTTCACACCTCCATACTCTTGTCTAGGTGTACACCTCAAAGGTCCAGGTGACCTCTCACACAGACACCATGATCCAGAAGGAACAACAGTTGCCTACTATTTCTAGATATTCCTATGTTATTTCTGACTATATCTAACAAGAGAAGTTTAGCATGGTACTAACTGCTAATACTAGATACTAGAAATCATGAGATACTAGAAATTATTGTAATCTCAAAGGGTCAGATTCTGATACATCATATTCAGCATGAATAGTCCCATTGAAGCCAATGCTACTAAGCTGGAGTTGAGTTCAGAATTTCTCTGAGAAAGAGATAAACATCTATATATGGGCGTGCAAGTATATCTTATGCTACTGATTCATACTTTACTTTGTTGCATGATCTCATCCCTATTTTTACTTTTCTAAAGGCTTATCTAATGCTTGTGCATTATGGAAGGATAAATTAATATTTATTTTAACTTTGTAAAAAACTGTAAAAGATCTGCGATCTTTCACACAACAAAATGATCTGTTTGTAAATGCTATTTGCCTGTCATAATTAATATTAAATAGGAACTGAAATGCATAGTAGGTGAGTATTTTGTGTGTGTGCAGGGAGGACGAGAGAGGGCCAAATAGGAATAATGCACGTACCAAAAATAGTAATAGATCTTTATGTCACTGATTAAAGTAAATTTGATATTGTAAAAGAGGCCTGAACATTTTTAACACACAGTTTCCAGAGGTCGTTGCAGAGAGAGCTGCAAATAAAGGAACTATACCACTGAGTTACCTTCTTTTGTGGAGCACTGTAAGCCAACACTTTCTAAGAAGATCTTAATCATGTTAGCATTTCAGTGAAAAATATCTGGCAAGGAGGAGGTAACAAACAATATCTAGCTGTTTACAATATTGAATTCCCAGGATATGGAAAGAATTCTTGAGACAGCTGAAGGATGAACTTGCAGATGACAGCCAAACCATTTTCTTAAGTTGCAATTCATAGATGGAATAACAGTGACTACTTTGCACTTACAGAAGTTCTTTCACCTGAGGGTCTCAAAAATCATTGCAGACTTTAGTTAATAACTTTCACAGATTTGCCTTTCTTAGGTAAGCAGCGTTACAGCTATTTTTTAGATTGGCAGATTGAGACCCAAACAAGTTTAAAGGCTAAGTGTTCTATTCCACCCTTTATACCTAAGGGGCACATCTAGATGAGCACACACATGTGGTTTATGGTGCTACCCTGCAAACTGCATGTGCCCCACATGCAGGGATTTGTCATGCTGCTAATTTGCAGTGGGGTGGGGTTTTTTGACACCAGAAAGTCCTCCTCACTGCTTTGTTGCGACTTCATCTCAAGGATCAGATGACGGGGAGTTACACAAGTAGATGCATTAATGGATTTTCATGGACTTGAATAGGGTGGAATAGAATTGCATTTACGTGCCTAAGTCCATTTAGACTCCAATAGAGTCTGGCCCTAAGTGTCCAGATTCACAGTAGTAGGACTGATGGCAGGAATTTGGACTTTATAAATGTGCTGGGGTGCAGGTGAAGTGGGTTTTATTCACACTTTTCTAGTGCAAAATAAAGAAAGAGTGCCTGTGTTTCAGCCACAATGATCTGTTTGCAGCATATGGTATAATACAGATGGATTTATTATACTTTATGTATCTGAATATGTAAGTAACTTGTACTCTACCACCTTTATAATTTGTCAGCTACTATTGAAAGAAGTGTTTATGTGTTAGTGAATACTACCTTAGGGAAAACTAAAATATACAGATTTTGCTTTACGTCATTATTAGTAACAGGGATAATACTTGTGCTCATATGGTTTATTTCAACTTTGAATCCCTGCTAACATGTCTACTTGTCTGACAGTCTGTCCTTAGACTATGAATGTGGTAAATGTTCCTCTTGAACATTTAGAAAATGCCCAGCTCATTATGGAGGCTACCATAAATAAAATATCAAGGTATTTTACAAAAACATGAATTATGCCTACTTGGATCTTAATCAGTTTAATGAATTATATGGTGTGATTGCCTGCAGTGACCAGGCTGGCATTAATGACTAGGCCTGTGCAAAGATTTGGTAGCTGATTTGATGCAGAAGAGAATCAGCCCAATTCGGGGACCAAATCTCTGAATCCCAGTTGGGAGACCAATTAAAAGCTCTGAATTGATTTGAAGCATCTGAATTGATTCAGAAAAGCTTCGGAAAAGATTCAGCTGCTTTGGAGATTTGGCCATAAACTAAACAGGCAGCTGACACAGCTGCGTCCAGCTGGTAAGTCTGTTGGGGTTGGGGTGAGGGGAAGGAAAGGACATGGGGAAGGGAGGGATTGGGACTGGGGCTGGGACAAGCTGCCCAGTCGGGGCAGCAGGGTGTGTTACACAGGGGCAGGGGGGCACAGGATGGTGCCACTGGGAGTGGGGGCTCTGCCCTGCTGCCACTTGCCCAGCTCGGGGCGGGATGCAGGTTTTTTGTTTTAAATAAAGCTCTGCACTCACCAGCTGCAGCAGCAGCAATTGGGGCCTCTGGGTCCTTGTGGCAGAGCCCCCCCCCCATGCAGCACAGTGCAGTGGGATGCAGCAGAGATCACCCTACCCCCCCCCCCCGTTTGGCACCCGTGTGGCAGCTGCTTCATGGTGCAGGTGCAGCATGGCTTGGCAAGGCATTGCACGCTGTCTGGGAGCTAGGTCAGCTCCAGCAGTCAGCCGGAGCTGGCAGCACTCAGCCGCAGCAGCCCCAGCTCCTAGGCAGCATATGGCACCCTGCCAAGGTGTGCTGCACCCGCGCCATGGGGCAGCTGCCACGCAGGGCAATCCCCGCTGACCCCCACTGCTCCATGCTGCATGGAGAAGCTCTTCCACAAGCCCTCAGAGGCCCCAGTGGCTGCTGCCAGAGCCAGTGAGTGCAGGCCTTTTTTTTTTTTTTAAAGGGCTGGGAGGCTGAGCCAGGTGGGGGGATGGGGCTGGGCAGGGCAGCCATGGGGGCTCCCCCACTGGGGAAGAGGCAGGCACAGCCAGAGGAGCCACAGGAGAAGTTTTTAAAGAAGTATGCACTGAGGTCAGAACTGATTAAACAATTCTGAGGTAACTTGGTGGGTCAGTCATACAACCCAGAGCAGAATGCAGGCCTTTGTGTTACCATATGTTCTTACTAAGGAAGATTAACATACTAAGCTTAATGTCTAAACAGAGACACAGCTAAAGAAACCCAGAGGATGGTGATAACTTTTTTTCCCCTTTTTGATTTTGAATAAACTGGTTCTTGGAGATGGTGCTGCATTCATGGGGATAATGTTTCTTGGCCCCATATCTCACACTTTTAATCTTTAATTACTAGAGAACATAAAAAGGGGCACCAAGTTCTTAGAGTGATTGTCCACATGTCATTCCACACTTCTGTGTATGGACCCCAAATGCTGCAGAAAGGAATGTCAAGTTCAGCACTATGTATAGGTAACTGTGGTGCAGGTTGGGGCCCCCTTGCTCATCCATAAAAAAGTGTAGAAGAACAGGGTGGTACTAACCACCACTCTTTCTTCTAATCTCAGCCTTGGCTGAGACGAGAATGATTAGCAGTGTCCTTTCTTAAAATTAGCTGTACTAATCATCAAAAATTAGCTGTTTTGATATATGTCTAAATTATGGGGTTTTTCTCTTGCATATAGCTATCAGTAGTGTAGCTTTTTGTACAGAGCAGATAGAGTAGTTTTTAACTTGAGTTTCTTGAATTATTACCCAGCATTGAGTTTTCCATTTTCATAGCTGAACAGAAATCACGCAGTTTCAAATGCTGTCCTTTTGTCAAACAGCCATTCCTCTGAAAGATGATCACATCCAATGTTTATTTTGTTTAGGCAAAGGACATATTTTGTGTAAATTTTTAGTATGACTGTCATTCTCACAGTGAGCGCAAAGGTCTAAAGCAGTGTTTCTCAACCTTTTTAGGCTCCAGGCACCCTGTATTTGACTTATGGCACCCCACCATAATTTTTGTGAATTGAATGGCTCCCCATTTAAAAAACTCATTTATTACAGTGCTTACCTCTTTGCAGTGAGCCTGGGCTGTGGGGTGAGGCACTATGCAGGCCAGGGACAGACCTAAGTTTGAACTTAACACCCTTCTTCCCCACTTAATTATCTCTTCATTTCTCTCCTCACACCTTGCAAAATCTTTCAAAAGATCTCATGACACCCAAGGTGCCATGGCACACTGGTTGAGAATAACTGAAAAGACTGCAGTTTCAGTGCCCCAAGAGTCAGTCCCTCCTGACCCCTCAGCAGACTTTGTCAAAATTGTGATGTGGGGGTAGGACATATCACTTCAGGAAACAAAATTAGTGATGACAGTCTCAGTGGGCACGTCTACACAAGATGCTTAATGAGCAGTAGCCTAATAACACTGTGCAGTAGCATGCCAGGCAAAAAATGTGCTAATATGCTACTGCACAGTAGTATTTAGGTTACTGCACAGTAAGTGTCACAAAAAAACCCATGTGCTGGCACTACTGCACAGCAACTGTAGTTATTGTGCATTTCATTAGTACTTCATTAAGCAAGTACTAAACTAAATGTACAGTAACTACTGTGCAATAATGAACATGTAAAAGCATCCAGTGATTCTTGAAAGAGAAAGAGATGCATTCAATCCTGCCAGAGACTGGATGTAAAGGGTAATTCAAAGCCTATCACCTGTGCTGAGTTCACCACTGAAAATATTAGCATTCTCATCAGTGCAATCAGTCTTAGCCAGTAGTCACCAACCCAGGGATCTCGATCGACAGGTAGATCCCAGAGCCTCTTTGAGTCGATCCTGGGCTGGGGGGACAGCTAAGTGTATGTGCATGTGCACACCTGCCCACCCCCCTCCCTCCCCAGCTCCAGTAGGTAAACCTGTAGGGAAGGGAAGAGAAGGGGTTCAGATTGAAGCCCTCGTGGTGAGCAACTGACTCTGTGGCCCAGCTGCAGCCCAGCTGGACAGTGGGAGGATTGGAGCCCAGGGGACTCCTCCAAGGGCGCGGGGTGGCTCCCTCTCCATCTTCGCGGGGGCGGAGGCAGCAGAGGCAGCTGCTAGGGGTGTGCGAAACAGTCCATATTCGATTCAGATTTGGCCAATTGGGGCAGTGATTCAATTTGTTGATTCATATTACTGTCTCTGATTTGATTCGGCTGAATCCGAATCTGAAGATTCGATGCTGATTTGGCGAATCAGCAATTTGGCCATATACACAGTTTAAATGTTTTTTCTACATACCTCAAGGTACAAGGCATGGCTTATGAATGCTGCAATGCTGGGGTGGATGGAGCACTCCACAGGAGTGCGGGGAGACTCCCCGCGTGCTCAGCGGTGAACCCAGAAGTGGACCGGCACTTCTGGGTCCACCAGGGAGCACATGGAGGGGGGGCCTGCAACCTCCTGGCTCATCAATTGGCCACAGGGGGACCCCAGGTGCCCCCCCAGACTCAGGAGGTACTAGTTGCTGAGCCAAAATGCTTCTGGTCTACTTCCGGGGCTGCTGCTGAGCGCACTGGAGACCCCTCTCTGCTCCTGTGGGACACTTCATCCACCCCAGCATCGCAGTGTTGATGAGCCACTCAGTACCTTGAGGTATGTAGAAAAAATATTTATAGCTGGGCTATATTTGAATCTCAAGGGCCCGTTCCCTCCCCACCAGCTGCGCTCTGGGCTCTGCGGGCAGCCTGCAGCAGCAGCAGCCTCCTCCTGGAGTACAGGTGGGAGGGGACATGGGCCCCTGGGGCCTCCGAAGCACAGGTAGGAGGGTGTATGGGCCCCTAGGGCCTCCAGAGTACAGGTGGGAGGGCACCTTCAGAAGCTAACATGATATTCCATCTCAATTTTTGGTCCATTTTTTCAAAGGCCCTTATATTAGAACCCAGACTTAGTACACGAAGCATACGGAACATTAAATCATGGTATCTTATTGCTAGGCCTGATACCCAATTTGCAAATGGCCTATACTCCTAGCCAATTTCCTGGGGTTCTCAATATTACAAAAGGCCATTATCAGTTACACAATCCAGAGGAAGGTCCCTTTCACCAGTTGAGCCTACCAGGTGTTCGTGTGTAAACTCAGTGTGCTTTCATGAAAATTGATGCCTTTATGATAAATATGCAAAAATCAAGTATTCAAATAACTTGGTAAATAAGTAACTCAGGATATCCCTACTATTACCACTTTTTCCATACTTAAGTGATCCCTCTCCTGAGATGATGCTACATCAGGAAGTTTAATACATGTTGTCCCTGGAAACAGGAGGTTCCTCCTCTAATATACAAGAAAGGGTTTCATAGTAATTTGTTTCTTATTCTAAAAAGGAAGTGAGGCTCGAAAGGGTCAGGAACCTAGTGGAGAAGCCCCCAGAAGAGACCCGCCGCAGCAGTATGGCAGATGGTCACCTCCAGAGCCAAGGCTACTCATGCTACCACAGTGTCAGCTCCCCAGGTACAGCTGGGAAACAGGTACGAGGCCCTGGCAGCTGTGGAGGAGGAGGTAGGAGAGGATGCCTCCAGAAGAGCCGATGCCACTCCATGCACGGCACAGACTGAGCAATGCCAGAACATCAAGAGGAAGAGATGCCGGGTCCTTGTCATCAGTGATTACATTCTGAGAGGAACAGAGGGGCCTATCTGTCACTCTGATCCCATGGCACATGAGGTTTGTTGCCTGCCTGGAGCTCAGATCCGGGACATCACAGAGATGATCCCAGACTTCATCCAACCCTCTGATCAATACCCCATGGTCCTCATCCATGTAGGAATGAATGATGCAGCCAGGAGCAGCCCGGACCATGTCATGAGAGACTACAAGGATCTGGGGACCGAGCAGGGGAAGTAATGCTCAGGGGCAACCAAGATGGGTTCATTGCGGGCAGATCCTGCCTGACTAAACTGGTTTTCTTTTATGATCAGGTCACAAAGTCCCTGGAAGAGGGTATCAAGGTAGATGTTGTCTCCCTGGACTTTAAGAAGGCCTTTGACACTGTTTCTCACCCCATTCTCATAAAAAAAAAAACTAGGCAAATGTGGCATTGGTGGCAAATTGGCTAGATGGTCACACCCAGAGAATGGTGGTGGACGGGTCATTTTTGACCTGGAGGGATGTGGGCAGTGGAGTCCCCCAGGGCTCGATCCTGGGGCCTGTACTGTTCAACATCTTTATCAGTGATCTGGATGTGGGTGTGACATTCACTGATGATACCAAGATGTGGGGCAAGGTGGGCACGCTGGAGGGGAGGAACAGAATCCAGCTAGATCTAGGCAGGTTACAGGGGTGGGCGGATAAGAATAGGATGGAATTCAACGCAAACAAGTGCAAGGTGCTGCATCTAGGGAGAAGGAACCAGCAACACACCTATAAGCTGGAGAACACCCTTCTTATCAACACAGTGACTGAAAGGCATCTTGGAGTTATTGTTGACTCCAGAATGAACACGAGCTGCCAATGTGAGGAAGTGGTCAGTAAGGCTAACCGCACCTCATCATGCATCTACAGATGCATCACAAGCAGGTCCAGGGAGGTGATCCTTCCTCTTTGTGCGGCGTTGGTCAGGCCACAGTTGGAGAACTGTGTCCAGTTCTGGGCGCTGCACTTCAAGAGGGATGTGGCTGGCATTGAGAGGGTCCAGAGGAGGGCCACTGGTCAAGGGGCAGTGGGTCAGGCCCTACGAAGAGAGGCTAAAGGGTCTGAATCTTTTCAGCCTCCACAAGAGAAGTCTGAGAGGGGACCTGGTGGCTGTTTACAAACTCACTAGAGGGGACCAGCAGAAATTGGATGAGGCTCTGTTCCCCCGGGCACCATGGGGGGTTACTAGGAATAATGGGCACGCATTGTTAGACAGAAGGTTCAGGCTGGACATCAGGAGACATTACTTCACAGTTAGGGCTGCCAGGCTCTGGCATGGACTCCCAAGGGAGCTGGTGCTCTCTCCTACCTTTGGGGGTCTTCAAGAGGAGGCTGGATAACTGTTTGATTGAGGTGTTATGACTCCAGCACTCATTCCTGCCTGGGGTAGGGGGTCGGACCTGATGACGTGTTTAGGTTCCTTCTGACTCTAACCACTATGACACTATCATCTGCTTATAATGCCCCCTCTGCTGCCTATACTAGACAGATGGGGAGATCCCTATGTGTAAGAATGAATGAAAACTGATTTAATATCAGCTCTAGAAAGACACAAAAATCAGTGGCAGACACTTTAACCCCCCAGGACATTCCATTGCTGTTCTTAGGCAACAAAACTTCAAAAACCAAC